GCAACCCCGGTACTGAAGTAGAAGATGCGGTCGAGGCTCGTAGCGTAAGCCCTCAAAACTCCATGAATCATATCAGCCGGTACAACGCTTCTGACCGCCGTAGAACCTGCGGATATGACCGTGACCGGGTCAACAGATGGCGCGTATTTCGGAACGAGGTCGACAAGACTGTTGGTGAAGATGGTCTGCGAGATGACGATCATCACTGCGGCAGCAAAATTCGACGTAAATACGAGCACAGTCATAGCTGATGGCATCTGCTCTTTGGGCAGATCATTCTGAACAGCAAGAAATGGCTAGAAATAGATTATGTTACTAGAATATTCTCAGTATTTAGGGTGAATACACAGAACTTACAACGGACATCGCTAGGCCTCGTCCAGCACCAAATAGGATCTGATAGCCCACCCATTGGCCTGTAGGAGTGGATGTAGAGAGCATACCAGTGAGTCCACAGCCAATTGTGTTTAATACTGCTCCGATAATCATGAATGGTGTGTAATATCCTATTTTTTGGACTGCGAGAAGTTAGATCGCTTGTCAAAAGTCACTAGCGAGGAGTAACTGACTTATGCCTCCAGCAATGATCCCAAATATCATCTGAGCAAGGATATTCGGAAGAACATCGACGCCGCTCATAAATGGTGAATATGCAAGGACCGCTTGGAAATACATCGGAAGATAGTAGGCGGTTACAAACATCGTTCCGGTCATTAGCAAGGCTGTTACACAACTTGCCCAGACTGTCCTTTTGCGCATCATTGAGAACGGAATCATTGCATTGTCTCCTTGATAGCCGTCCCACACCAGCCACAAGATGAATGTAACGCCTGCGCCGCAAAAAAGACCAATGACTTGGCTGCTATTCCAAGCGAACTGGTTCCCGCCATACTGTAAAGCCAAAAAGAATTGAATTGCTGCAGGAGCGAACAATGCAAAACCCGGAAGGTCAAATTCGGTAACCGCATTTCTGAGTACTGACCTCCATTCTGGCTTAGGTATATCATCTGGAATATGTATAAAGGCTGTAGCTGCAACTACGACACCACCTATCGGGAGATTGATGTAAAAGCCTAGAGATATGTGAGACGAATTGCCAAAAAGTAACTGTGAGAGCACAGTGATAGCTTACACCATCTCCAGGTGACATATTCTGTGAATGCACCACCAAGGAGTGGTCCAAATGCAATTCCCAGTTGGCCGACTGCGAGAAAACTTAGTTACTGAGGAACCTCTTATGTATAGATTTACTTACTTCCCATTAAAATCCCCAAAAGCGCTGAAGTATTGGCTCGTCAGTATTTTGCTGTGTATCTTGGTATAATCTCCTCGACATACCTGGTTGGCGATGCGGAGCAACGCTGGCATTGAGTATAATCAGTGCTCCATTCAGCAAACCAGAGCCACCAATACCGGCAACAGCTCTTCCGACAATAAGCATGACGGAAGACTTGGCTGCTCCACAAAGAACAGAACCAACTTCAAAAATCGCCAGACATATGATAAAAGGCCACTGTGCGTTCAGTGTGAGCGTTGCAAGAAGAAAAATTCTCATGTTAGTTAAGGTATACCTTTGATCCCAATCGTGCGTAAATCTTCCCACTCAATGGTTGTAATGCCGCCCTGCAATATCGTATCAGTATTCCACGGATTTCGTGCTTCTATGGAGGCAACCAGAACGTACGCGGAGAGCTGGTAAGCGCTGCCGTACCAACCAACATCGAGGAGGGAGTGGAAGTCATCGGTAATATAGGGAACAGCCTAACATTTTCCCGCCGGTTAGATCGAGGAGTTCAACGGAGGATAGGGCACGCTCACCGTCGCTAAAATAGTATTGTCAAGCATCACGAGGAAGTAAACTATCGTCAGTGCGCTGAGCACGAGAACTAGTTTTACACCAGTAATATATTCATGTTGGATCTCGTGAGGTTGACTCTCCGGAGTTCCTATGCCTTTCTCTTGACCTCCAGGGAGTGTCGACGATGTTGCATCGGTCGATGTTCGGCTCTCTTCTGATTCCATACCGCCTATTATCTGTAACCGATAAAACAGCTGATTTGAGGTAGCGTATGGTTTGTGAAGCGATTACTGCTTTTGAAGTCCAAATTGTGGTCTTCGCAAAATATTATGGACAATAATCGAGTTGAGCAAGAAAGGCGACTTGATCGAAGAAGTAAAAATATCGACGAACGAGGCTCTTAAGTATTCTAACCAAAGTCCATCCAGAGGGAAATTCATATAGGCAAGTTCTTCTCGTCGTTAAGTTGACCCATGTGAGAAATCTTGCTAAAAACAGATTATAGCGTTCAATGTACTTACTTAGGTACATGTCGTTGAAACTCCGAGGCGTGAAACTCCGAGACGGGTCCACTAATACGCCAGGCTAGTTCTAGAACCGACAAATGTACTGCATACATACAGTACAAAGGCCCCCACTGCTCCCGTCTCGCATCCTTCTGACTCCAGCAAACTTCAAGAGCATCTCATTTATTCAGCACGGCGCAATCAATTGAAATCTTAAACTTGCATCTCTAGTCCTTCACTATTAAGGACTGTAGCGGCAAATCGATAGAGAGCAACGCCGCGAAAATGTCCGGCCGACCTGAGACTCGTCAACAACCAGGCTATGCGTGTGAAGGTATGTGGCTCCTTTCAAACAGGCATCCTGGTTACGAACCTATTCCACAAAGAGTAGAGTCCTGGACTTCGGAGTCTAATGCCCTTCCCCTTCGAGTTTGAAAAACTGCTATTGACCAACTCCAAGAATGCCGTAGAAAGAAACTCCGCTGCGACAGGCAACGACCCCAGTGTGGATATTGCATTAATAATTGTATCCCATGCAAAGTTCATGACCATCGAGTTTCACGAAATACTAAAAAAGGAGCCACTCAAACTCCCCGGAGAAGCGTTGGTAGGTCTGGATACATTGCAAATGAGACATAAATGTTAACAGCTCTGTCAGTCGTGTTTGAGCAGAACCTCTCTCCTGCGTACTCAGTATCCCAGACCAGCAAGGCTGGCTTTGCCAGTAACTCATCAGAGGGACCAGCAACAAGTAAGGCAGTCAATCCTGCTGCCTCTTTGACCCTATTTCACTGTGGCGATCCCTCCCATTCCTAGATTTTTCAGAGATCATATCACGAGAATGCGGCAGCTTCCAGCAAAACCTCTCCTTGCTAATACGCTGTGAGATCCAGATTCAGAATGGGATCCCTTGGGTTTCGACGACGAGAGAACCTCCCCATCCTCTATCTCTACCAATTATCCAGTTCTAGAGGATAATCGCCCGCCACCTGTCCTACATGATACACCTAATCTACCTTTGTCACCAGAGTCGCTACAGGCTTCCCAGCACCATCAATTCACTGCAGAGCCAGATGGAGAGCTTTCAGAGTTCGTCAAGGCTGAGCTGTAAGTTTAGAAGCTCAGTGAGTTTTGGCTTCTTTCTGATCTTGGATATAGGACACAGGTATACTTTGATCGGGTTCAACCCAATATTCCGATACTTTGCCAGTCAAGCACATACGCGTGGATGTGTGAGAAATCCGCGATGGACGATTACCGCCAATGCTTGCAATTTGCGATCTGGACTTCAGCTTCGGCATTCTCAGGGCAATTTGACAGTGTTCGGGAGAAGCTCTACACCACTACACGGTCGATTCTTGATGGGCTTGATTTGAAGGATGGCGACATGGCTGCATGCCGTATCGAACATATCCAGTCCTGGATTTTGATCACCTTCTTCGAATTCGCCAAGACACATTATCGCCGCGGTTGGCTCAGTGCAGGCCGTGTCTTTCGCCTCGTACAACTACTGAGACTCTACGATGTGGACAATCCCAAATTCAACAAGCCTTCTGAATTGAGTGACCTCGAAAAAGAAGAGCGGAGGCGAGCATTCTGGGTCGCATACTGCCTTGATCGACTGATCAGTGTCAGTAATGCCACGCCAGTCACGCTCAGCGAAGAAGTGGTCAGTTTTCCAGCCCCTCGCTCATGAATTTATATAGTCGACAACAGCATCAACCGGAATGTCTAACATATTACAAACAGGTTGGCACCCGTCTTCCTTGTCTCGATGCTGATTTCCAGGCCGGACACATTAATAGAGAACATTTCTTATCAGAAGCTATCTCATCTGTTGACCTTCGGCTCTATTCACCACTCGCGGAATGCGTGATACTAGTCACCATTTCCAGTCGGGCACTAACTCACAAGCAAGTATCAGACGTAGAAATCATGTACGGCAGCGCAGCACCCCGCGACTTTTGTGCCAGGCACGAGTGGCTTTCAAGCATGCTCATGCGGCGGCTTGACAGTTTCAGGAAGAATTATCCTTCGCTTTCCCTGGCATCCGATCCCATGATCATGTTTGCATACATGGTTGCGCACACCACCGTCATGTACCTTTACTGCATCATGGAGCCCTTCTCTAAAGACGAAAATTACGACTGCTTGCCGTGGGACTTTTCGGAAAGGGGCCTATCGGCAGCTCAGGAGGTTGCGTGCCTAGCCAAAAAGCAGCAGCCTGTTGGGTATTTCAGGATGCACACTTTTATGCCGCTCCCGATTTATCTTAGTGTCGTAAAGTTAAGAGTATATCTGGAGCAACGAAGAACAGCAGGGTATAGACTGGAGGAGATAGGGCAGATCGAGACGTCTCTTCAGGCTTCATTGGATGCATTGCAGAGGCTTCAGCCAGTGAATCAACTAGCTACTTATTACCTAGGGCTACTGGATGGTAACAAAGATTTGGTGGGGCTTACGATTAATGAAGGTTGGGTTTGGGGTTAGTTACATACTGTCTATGGATCAATCAGATACAAAACAAGAATCTCATCCTTGAGACTGTCTTTGTTCATGCCCTAGACGCATATTGCTACAACTTGCAAATATTTGTTTCCAGTATTTATGTACGGTATATTATGGCACCTTCCTATGTACAGAAACAGCCCGCGAGAAATGAAAGCTCATCATTTGTCCTCCAATGCCTTCATGACCTAAATGCTGATAAACGTGAAGCTGACGGGATAGACTGTGGATGGGTAGCGGAGGTAAAATTGGCTCGGGCTGGACCCAGCATACAAAACCTGACCCTGAATCCAGGCCTGGAAGGTCGGGGCTGGACTTCCGCTTGGGTTCACCCATGCAGGGGTAAGAGCACCCGTGGTGAAGTCGATATCCCAGATGGAGGACTCGCTAGTGCGGCTTGTGCCAGTGTAAGTGGTGTAGGAATTGCCAGGAACCTGCGGTACGCTGCCAGCCTCGGTATGGCCAGTGCCTGTGATGTAGACATATCTGTTCACGGCCGTTAGAAGACATGATTGGGTGCTAGGAGAGCATCATTACACATACTGAAACGAGCCTGTTTCTAGATCCGAGGTAGTGTCGTCGCGACCTTGCACGAGGCCTAGGAAAGGGTAGGAACCGGCATTTGCCGCGTTGGTCATGATGATCTCGGCCTGGGACACAGACGTGGAGCCTGGGGCCACAACCACCTGGACAGTCAGGGCATTTGACTGGACATCATACTTGGCGTAAGCCGTGTTAACGAACGTCTTGCCAATGTAACCGAGCACGGAGTTGTCAGAGATCTTGTTGACTCGGATGATGCCTAGCGGGTTAGCAAGAGTCAGTATGACTCAGTCTTAAAGAGAGGTTTCTCGGAGGGATGGAAACCCAGCTTACCAGTCAGAGTCTGTGAGGCAGTAGCGTGGACCGTTGAAGTGACGGTAGTGGTCACAGTCACCTGAGTTGGGACGGTCTGGGTAATCTCAGCCGTATTATAATCAGTGGCCGTGAGCGAGGCGGTGTTAGTCAAAGTCACGGTTGTCGTGGTGGTCGACTGGGGAATGGTGTATGTGGATTGGGTGAAGCCCCAGCAGGAACAGGCGCTTGAGTACTTGACGGCACCGGAGCAAGCACTAGCATAAGTAGGGACGCTGGAAGGTGAGTAGGTAGTAGCAGCCGTCACTACCTGCACGTCTCGTCTCTCAGGAATGATGACATCAGTCGCAGTAGTTGTCGCTGTCGCCGTATCAACCTGCGTGGAGGTGGAGGTGGCTAGAACTGTCACCGTTACGGTGTTTGTGATCGTCCCAGTGACAGACACGCTGGCCGTTGCAGTAGCAGTAATAATGCTGACCAATCGAGTGTGTCAGCTACTTCTACGTGAAAATTCGACGAACGTGGAGCACTTGATTACCTGGTCGGGAGAGAAACCGTCGCGATCAAGAAGCTGGCACAATCTGACTGTCTTTGGGTCAGGGCAGGCTTGGCAGCTGTACCGGTAACGGCACGAGCACAGTTCTGTCCAGTAGTTAGTCAACAACGCCCGTGTGCATGCTTCATCATTCGGCTAATTCGAGCCGCCATCTGTTATGTCTCACATTGGCATTACAGCTGTCAGCACGGAGGCCGAGAACGCTGCCCATGACAGCGCCTGGTAATAGTCCCAGGGCGCCGATATAACTGGTGAACCGCATCGTGGTGTTTCTGGTAGAGTAGACGACGATACCCAAGGTTGGCTTAAGGGCTCCGCAGAAAGATTACCCATTCGTGTCTTTTGGAAAATTATGGCGGCGCTGTCTCGCCTCTTTATATTGACATATGTGCGCCTAACTAGGCCAGATCACGATGGAACACGACCTTCGAGAAGCATGAATTAGCCATTATTACCCCATCTAACTGTCGCGACCCCAGTGTCTGGCCTTGCATCTAGACTAGGCTTTGGGGCTACTGTACCTGACTACTGGATTTGCCAATGGTCTCAGCTCGCTCAGGTCTGGCAGAAGGATAGAAAGCGGTTCTAGCGTGCCGAGCTAACGGAGCTGGATGCCAATAGACGCTTTTGCTAACCCAAAAGTGTTGTGGGTCAATGGAATACTGCCATCACGCGAGAGCAGCAGGGGTTTTTCTTTTTTTTCCATATTTTTTTTCCTTAGGAGATAATAAGTTGGCCCGTATATTAAAATCTGGTACAACAGATTGCAGTCTGTTGATGCACCGCAATTTTTGCTGGATCCCAAATAAGCAACGAAAAAGATGCTCTATAAGGTGTGTTTATGAATTCCGCCTACAACATCGGCAATGCTACTACTATAGGCTTCCTCGCAAGGGCAGGCGTGAGTTTGGCCGAGTGGAAAGTGAGCTGCAAGGGCACAGTAAGACTTTACCCCCTAGGGCTGAAGAACAATACAAGCAGCTAGATGACTAGCTGGACTGGGCTAGTTTTAGTAGGGAGGGAGGTGCTATGTCTTGTTGACTTCTGATGCTTCGATGGACTATTCTCCTACTACTAACTATCACTAGCATGCTGGCTCTCGTGGGATGATGTCATACATGTGCGATTGTTCTGGCTTTTTGGGTTCTGTAATTGGCGTCTTGACATTATGTGCGTCTCTCTAGGAAGCTGAAGCCACAAACGGTCACAAGTATTCAGTCCGAACTCTGCCACCATAGGGTAAAGAGGTTTGTCCCCTTACAGAGGGATGACAGAGGTGTTACCAGCTAGAAATATCGGGTCAGCGTGATAGCTTCACCTTCATAAGTTTGATTTAGATTCTCTCCAGGACTCAGTTGCGTGTCTCCTGAAGAATGGGGTCGCAATATATGCTCCCTCGGTTGCACCTGAAGCAATTCACATCTCATTTAGGCATAACTAGTCAGTACCAGTACGTATGCTCAAGGCCACGAGTTGTCGTCTGGTGTACGTTGTTGCGGCTACCACACCGCTTACCTTCCGCAATTCCAGGGGTCATGACTCCACGACGTTCATGGGTAATTAGCGCAGTCAAATGTAGGGCCCTTGCGCTTGTCAAGATGAGATTGTGAGCGTTCGAGTTATACTGGACGATAGCCACTGGTCCAATGGATGAGGACAAGTCCGTCTTAGTCGTGTACGAGCTGTGAAGCGTCGCCAAAGCTCTTCATCTAACCACCACAATGAAGTATGGCCATCTTCGCTTGAACGACGGACAATTGAGGTCATTTGTCTACATAGATCCATCTATAACTCTTTGTCTCCATATCCCTCTGGCTTTCGCATAGGACTTATGATCCGACTATTGCCGTCATAGAATTTACAAACATGTCCTAGAAGTGTGAGATCAGCCTTGGGCTCTGCGCAAAACTACTAAGATGTTAAGGATTAGGTGTTGCTCTGCGCTGAACACTAACGTCGCGGTACGCTTGTCCCCAAACTCCGGCACTGGGATTTAGCGGCGCGGGAGTACGCGGGACGAAAGTGTTGCGTGCTGGGTTAGGTGAGAACTAATAATAAAGTAGTAAGGCACAATGCACCTACCTTCGCGTTCTGTGATGGGAATATGGACTACTTAAAGAGAAACCTCACTGCATGGTACTTCGTGAGCGCGTGTCTTGATAGCTAGCTGAGTAGCTGAAAGATCAAAGCGAAGAGAGTAAAATCCGGGGAGTGGACACATTGACGACACTGCAATTGCGGTCTTAATAGAACATCCTGCCTCCTCCTCAGGAAGGGATCGCATGTCATTGGCTGGGGCTATCCAAGAGGAGGCTCTCCTTGTGGGCAGTCGTACATTAGAGAGGCTAGCGAATACGCCAAAGGCAGGAGAGACGGGAATTATGCACTCGGATTTGCAGAGTGTCGGAATTGTAGCTCGCGAGTTGGATAATCCCGTGTGGGCCCCTATTACGTTGTTGGAGTACCCATCAGCGGCACAGCACAGACAGCTCGCCTCAAGGCTAACCTCTAACGCCGGAAAAGGCGAGTCAGAACGCGCCAAGAGAGAGCACAGGAAGAGATGCAGGCGGAATTTAAGTTAGGAACGCCGTGCGTCATGATCCAGGTACTCCTGCACGCAATTCTGCCCTGTAGATACTTCGGGCTTGCCTCAGTGCGAGCAACGCATTAGTTTCTGGTCTTGCTGATTAAGGTACCCTCCACATACTTCTGCAGTGAAACCATGATGAATGCTTGCCAATCCGCATGGATGAGCTAATGCTATGTCCGAACGTTTCGTTGGTGGGGAGAAAGGGGAGGCAGCGCGATCAAGCTCTGCGAAGCGAAGAAAGCAGCTTAACTCCACACCCCTGCCCTTCTCTGCATCTCGGCATCACAGCATCGTCTGTAAGTCCATTTACGGCCAAACCTCTTGCTCTGCGCTTTGCGTGAAGTAGTTATAAATAAGTCGTCCTCAAACTTCTCATCGCTGGACGAAAAGAAGGGAGAAATCATCAGCATCTACCAGAACACCTCAGTCCTCCATTTACATACACCAATCGAGGACAAGCAGTCAAATACATCATAGCAACCCCGCATCCCTTTCTTCACTTGAGCACATTCACCTCATAACCACCACAAAACACAAACCTCAGACACAATGCCTCAAATCAACGGTTTGGAAGTTGGACCCACAGGCTATGGCCTTATGGGTGAGTCAATAGCTAGCTAGCCGGCCTTTCTGGCTTCAAATCCCAAGAGCACTCAGAACTGACAAGTCGGACTCAGGCTTCACATGGCGCCCCAACCCTGCCCCCCAGGAGCAGGCTTTTGAGGCTATGCGCGCGGCTCTGAAGAACGGCTGCAACTTCTGGAACGGCGGCGAATTCTACGGCACGCCAGAGTACAACAGCATGACGTTGCTAGAGCGCTACTTCACCAAGTATCCCGAGGACGCTGAGAAGGTTGTCCTCAGCATCAAGGGAGCCTCTGGGCCCAACGGCGCCCAGCCCGATGGCAGCCCCGAGGAGATTCGCTGCTGCCTTGACAATGTCCTCAAGCAGCTGAACGGCCGCAAGAAGCTAGACATCTTCGAGTGTGCCCGCCGCGACCCGAATACTCCCATGGAAGTGACATTCGGCGTCCTGCAGAAAGAGTACATCGACACTGGCAAGCTCGGCGGTATCTCCCTCAGCGAAGTCAGGGCCGACACAATTCACGAAGCTGTCAAGGTTGCCAAGATCGTTGCCGTAGAAGTCGAGCTTAGCCTTTTCTCGACTGATAATCTGACCAATGGCGTTGCTGCCGCGTGCGCCCAGTACGGCATTCCTTTGATCGCCTACTCACCAATGAGCAGAGGTGTAAGTCTCACCGATGGCAAGGATTATTGCTTCCTATACTGACAAGACCTCTAGTTCCTGACAGGTCAAATTCGCAAGATCGACGACCTGGACCAGGGTGATTTTCGCCGCTTTTTCCCTCGCTTCCAGCCCGGCAACTTCGAGCTCAACGTGCAATTAGCAGACCATGTCATTGAGCTGGCGAAGAAGAAGGGCTGCACCGCCGCTCAGCTCGCAATCAACTGGGTCAAGGCCCAGTCCAAGCGCCCGGGAATGCCCGTCATCATCCCCATCCCCGGCGCCACGACGGCTGAGAAGGTCACTGAGAACTCGGTCGAGATAGAGCTATCCGACGCGGAACTGAAGGAGATCGATGAGATGCTGTCCAAGTTCGACGTCCAGGGTGGCCGTTACCCCGCCCAGATCCCCCACAACACCTAAATCAGGGGATCTCCGGCTTGAGTCTTGAGCTTTTTGTGGAATTAAGGAGTTTAGTAGCCAATATAGTGTATTAATTGAACGAATGAAGATTTTACGATATTTTACTGTCCCCTGGATTCAACATCGCGTATTAGTGATGTGCACAGCTCTCTTAGTTTTCGATTGTCTAATTAGAATATACTGTCTCCTATCCACGGTCGCCTAGACTTTCTATCCAGTCACTGATATATTGTGAATGGGCCCGACAGGAAAGAATGCACTATACTACAATGAAGGAGCTTTTGTGGCTATTGCTCTCGCCCTCATTTGCAGGGGTTTGCGGTAAACCCTCCTTGGAAACCTCATGAACGCACGACCCTTCCAGAGCCGTTAGATGCTGCGGATCTTCGTCCGGCCGGGTGTAATTGCCTGGCTCGTGCCACTCACTCAGCGGCATATGGTGTGCCGGCGGCCAGATGAGATTACAGATCCAGAAGATGCCGAAAGACATGGTGATGCCCACGGGGTACGCGAAGTAGTAAAACCGCTTGATACCTATCGGTACGTGAACGCCCATGTTCCCCAGAAAGCCGGCAAAGTTCACCGCTACCGTGATCAGGTATGCAACATAGGCACGAATATTCCACCCCTTCGTGAAGTAGTAGACCCCGGACTTGTCGCCTGTATACAAGTCGGGTACTTGCAAGTATCCTCTTGAGATGACATAATAATTGCAGATCAAGATGCCCGTGATAGCTGCAAGGAAAATCTGGTAGGAGCCCAGGAAGGTGATGAAGATGGAAGCTGAGCCTAGCAGAAACCAGGGGTTTATGGCGAATGAGATAAATTGGCATATAAGCATACCTCTTCGAATAGAGATGTACCTCGGCAGCAGAGCAGCGATATCATTTCCGGCTATGAAGAAGTGTTAGATCCAGATTAGCTTGGGGGTCGCAGAACGGCTCACCAGGAATACTATTCTCGAACACCGACGAGAACAAAGCCGAGTAAGAGAACATCAGAGCAATGAAAAAGCATCCTGCTCGATTTGCTGGTGTATAGTTTTCGGTTTGGATACGGTCCAAAAGAGTCACCGGGTTCCACACCAGCTCGCCAAAGATCACGGTCGAGGTTGATGCGACCACATTTCCGACAATAGCCACAGACATGTCGGCCAACGGAAAACCAATGAGGTTTCCCAAGATGACATCGTTTGGTCTGCTAGCATATCTCTGGAAATCTGCAGCATTGCTCGCAAAGGTGGCACAGTTCGCGGCAAAGAGCCAGATGAATTTGACCAACAACCACGACTTTTCCGATCCATGGACTTTGGACCCTTGCCTCAGAACCGGTCCTGCTCCGCCTGCTAATGTCAAAGTCCATGCTAACATGGCCACGGCCGAAATAAGGTAGACGACGAGCTTTATATCTGTTGAGTGTCAGGAGTTGCCCAATGTGATCAGGTCAAGCCAACTCACAGACGAGGATTCGCATCTTCGGAATTCTGATCATTACAACAGCGCATACTACGAGCCTGTCAAATGTTAACAAAGATGATGAGTTGATGTATAATTGCGTACGAACCAGAAGATGAGGTAACCGATCATCCCCCCGGATGTCAACGCAGAGCCCTTGCCCATTGTGTTGGGTATCTTTGCAATACCGGGTGTCAGTGCGTGGAGCATTGTGCTGAATGTCTGTTAGCTCAAGTTGATCATCCCAAGCCTCAGATTTTGACCTACTAAACACATTGACCTCCTTGAACCCCCTGCGAAGAGAAGATGTCAGCATTTATCAGTAGCTGAAGAGGGAGATTAGCGAACATTGACTCCATTCCAAACTATAGCCATGACAGCACGATTGAAGGTGGGCCACCAAGCACCGTAAACCCCAAACGCTGCACGATTGAGGATCGGGTACCCGAAGTGATAGACAGCACCTGGGCGACCATTGATAACGAAGACTATGGCAATCAGGAAGTATCCTGCAGCCTGGCAGCCCACAACTTCCCAGATGCTAAGGCCAGTGGACTGTGCCGCGCTCCCAGAGTACCATCCCGCAACTGTCTTACATCAGTATCTGCTTATTAGTTTGACAGAAGTTTGTCTCACCTGTAGCTGCAGCAGAGAACCAGAAGGTCAAGTACGTCCTTTGAGTCCAGGTGCGATCTTTAAGCGCGAGGGGTCGGATATCGTCGTTGTCCAGAAAGGCGTTTCCGCTCTCGCCACCTTTCACGACAAGGCGTCTCGTCAACGTCGCTCTTGTGGGCGACATGACTATTAGATAGGAGCAACGTGATTGTTGATTTCCAACAGCGATGAATTGTGTTCTCTGAATGGAAGTCCACCGGATGCGATGGCCTTTATAGCCCTATACATAAGGAGGACTTCTTATCATTTGCCCCAGCTTTGACACCGAGTATGCGTACTTCGTTTGGAGAAGCATTGTGACTGACATGGGGACCACTGCAATCACCCAGGAATCAGTGCCGGGTCAAAGTTGATGTGAGGAAGAAATCGACCCCCAATGGCACATCGCTATTACCTTATCTCTACTGAGTCAATTAGGGCGGTTCCACAACACTAAAACAACGCCGGGCTGACAATCAGTGGCGCACTTGTCGTTGTAACCCCCAAATCATCTTTATCACCGTTCCTGGTGGGGAATTTGGGGGTTACAAGCGCTTGGCATCGACATTAGCACAAACTGTTTGTATGCCCACATCTCGGTATGTCACTACTCAAAAGCGGAGATGCAACCCCCAAAGTCCGGCCGGAGCCGCCTAGTTCACTGTCTCAAATGGTTCTTGACCAGTGCTGGAGTCGATATCCTACAAGAGCTTCTTTAATGGCTTCAGCGGACGAGTTGCCTTAGGTCAACAGCACCGTATCTGACACATTAGCCAACATGTCTATGACTGAGACCGAGACGCTCCCCTCGTTTACCACCATCGAGCTCCAGACGCCATATGGCCTGGAGCACCGTCGAGTCTCGACTAAGTTACCTCGAGACTGTCGGTCTGATGAAATACCTGTTATCGACATCAGCGGCATCTACGACAATTCAGCAGAACGCATTAAGTTGGCCACTCAGGTCAAGTACGCAGCGGAGAACTCGGGTTTCTTCTACATCAAAAACCACGGAATTGACGAAGACATCATCAGTAATGCTCTCCAAGCTTCTAAGAGGTAAGAGGGTGCCTATGCTGCGCCACTTGGCAACGCTGACATAGACACTGTAGATTCTTCGCGCAATCCGTCGAGGAAAAGTTGAAAGTTGCAAAGACTAGGTCCCGTCACTACAACGGATATAATGGCCGAGGCACAACCCAGATCTCCCCTTCAGAATCAATCGATAAAAGAGAAGCATTCATGTGGTCTTATGACCCCAAGCTTGATGCAGACGTGCAAGATCTTAATGATATTCCCGAAATCGTAAAGTCGTGGCTCCGATGTGAGGATTTTATCTGGGATGGTACGTCCCAGGTCCCGAATTTCAAAGACGACATCATCAAGTATTGGAGAGCATGTTTGAAGCTGGCAAGGAGTCTTGTCAAGGTCTTTGCCCTGTGTCAAGGCTTGCCAGAAACTTACTTTGACAAACTCACTACGTATCCCGGTGCCGACGGCGTGTTGAACTACTATCCTGGACTCACAGCTGATGAGGCCAGCAAACCCGTAACGGATGAAGTAGGCATCGGCTCCCATACCGACCTTCAGTGCTTCACCCTGTTGTGGCAGGACGATATAGGTGGATTGCAGGTTCTCAACAACGAAGACCAGTGGATCAAGGCGAAGCCTATACCTGGAACACTTGTTGTCAATATCGGCGACTTCCTTATGCGGATGTCAAACGACAAGTTCAAGTCAACCGTCCATCGAGTATTCAATCGCACGACTCTCGACAGATACAGTATGCCCTTTTTCTTTGGGTTTAACTTCAACGAGATTTGCTCGGTACTTCCAACGTGCATCGATGAGAAACATCCTGCGAAGTATGAGCCAATCTCTTGCGGCGAGGTGAGCCAAAATCCTTCTCATAGTACTGTATCATGGTTCTCGTCTAATTTTTGCAGTGGTGTCATCTTCGCTTCCAAAAGGTGCAACTGGCCAACAAAGCACCACCAACCTCAGAGAGAGACGCGCGGGTATATATCACGGCTTGAAGCCAAGGAGGGTTACTGTGATATCAAAAGGTATCCATAGGTATATAGAGATATACAAGCTTTGTTAGCATTTTCTGTTGGTGTAAGGAGTGGCTCCCATGTATGAATCGTCGTAGGCGTCCGTTGTTAAGCACTGTTGCCTCTGAAAGTTCTCTGATTTATATAAATTGCACAATCCACGGAGTTCAAATAATTGAACCTAAGCGGGAAATATGAGTTCAGTCTTGAGGCAATATAGTAAGTGAAGAGAGTCTCGAGATTTTTGATCATGAACTATCAAGGCACGGAATCGATAGTGAAGTGATGGTCCTATCGGGTGGCTTCCACGCTATCATAATGCCATTCCTGTGTAGTAATCATCATTTTATAGCGCCTTCGACCACCCCCGCAGTGGGGTTTTCAGAACCGCCGTTCTTACGACGTCGCTCTGCTCACTGTTTCGCTTTAATTTTCCCTCGACAAGCAATTTATCTTAAGACTGACATCGCCTATGATTAAATCCTATGACTCAATGAGATGCTTCATCAATGGCCAATATCTCTTCTGTACGTTCTCAGAGAAACGGATCAAATCATGGCCGACGGCGACGAGCACCATCAACACGAAGCAAGAGAGTCAGGGCAAATGACACAGACCAGCCAGTGTTTGAACGCCCATACAAGTGCGTGTTCGAAGGGTGTAATAAGGCATTCACTCGGTCTGAACATCTGAGAAGACATCGGCTTAATCGTCAGTGCTTGACTCTTGACACTTTGGGAGACAAAATTCCTGCTGACCTGCTGGATAGATGAAGCAACTGAAATCTGGACTTGCTATGTCTGCTCTGCCAGCTTCGTGAGACGAGATCTCTGGCAGCGACATCAGAGGACTTCTCACAATGAGTTTGATCCAAGCACCGACATTCTCCCAACAACGGTCCTGGACGTGTCCGGTAGTGAGGATGATACTTCGGGATCCTGGCCTCACAAACGCGCCAATTCATGCACGGCGACTTCTTCGTCAGTGCAACGCCAAAATCTAGACTCCCATGAGCCAGACAGTCCGTCTACGATCCGAAGTGGACAGGGCTCTGCAAATAAGGCATCCCAAAATATCAATCTCAACTTCGGGGGGCAACCTGACCTGGTCCAGGAGCCCTCGGCTGACCCTAATTGGGTCCATGAATTACAGAATTGGATGATTGATTATTCTTGGACCGAGACTTCGGGCTTCAACGAACCCGACATTGATTGGTTTCTAAATAATCAGTATCACATATCCGATGACTTTTACACAAATTCTCACGAGGACAACGAACGCAACGTACCCTCCAATGACCAGACTGCCAAAAGCCTCATTCAAATCGTTGAACATTCCAATCGCTTTGAACATATGCCTCCGATGTTCCTTCAAGAAGCACCTACAAAGCTGTTCGTTCCAAAGACAGGCGAGTTCAGCGCCCCAAATTGCGGGTTTCGGACATGTAGTGCCTTGTCAGAAAACCACAGGACTACACTTCTAGTTGAGCTCCAAAAGATGATCGACATCGATGTTCATGACCGCCTCTTCTCGTTGAACAGCTTAAAACAAGGCATTCATCTTTATTTCCGACATATCAATATTGAGCACAACTTCCTACATCACGAGTTTTTCATACCGTCTTGCGAAGAGACACGACGCGCAAGACTAGATGTATGTGGCCTAGATTCAGAACCGGGAGCAGTGTTCTATTGGTCGATTATTAGCATTGGTTGGACCTTGATGAGAAGCGAGGAAGGTCACGAGCACAGAATGGCAGTTCAGATACAGCGCGCTCTCAGGAAAACAGTGATTAACGTAGGTGATCAATCCCTAACGTTCCAGTATCTACTAACAGTGATCCTTGCATGATAGCATCCGGGACTTACTGGGAGTCCACCCTTGTGGCTTGTCCAAACGCTTTTCATTGTACTCATGTTTGCGAGATACCAAGGCGACAGGGAAGAATATGGCTTTGCATCCATGTTTCATGGTGTACTACTTGAGGTGTGTCTCTCTTCATTACTTCTCTCCAATTATCTTGTAGTAATCAGAGTTTCCAGGCAACCAGGCGATTAGATTACAGATCATTCCCTTCTATGGATGTCAAGGCTCGGTCAGACCCTGATGTCGCAGTCTGGATAAAGTGGATCGAGACAGAGTCAATACAGAGGTATGGGCGATGTCACATTATGATGAAGCACTCGGGCAAGGCTAATCAAAAGTACACCAAGACTCATACGTCAAACCTTCATCCTCGATATGAAACATTATCTACTGCATGGCGGAGAGCCGAATCTAACCCCATTCGATCTGAACCTGCGGCTCTGTTGGTCTGAAGATGCCTGGTACGCCACATCATCCAGCGAGTGGGCGCATTTCCTGTCGCTTAACGCGAAGGACGCTATACCGTTCGTCGATATTTTGAAGATGCTTTGGAATCCTCGGGCGAATTCTCTTCCCGCTGAAAAGATTCCCCGCGGATCTAATATCGTCCTCTATGGGTTGGTCTCTATAGCCAGGGAACTCTGTCGACGTAAATACGACCACATCCCAGATCAATCAGGCGACTCTCTCACCTCACTTGGGACAACATTTGGGCATTCGCTCAACAACTGGGAGCACATCTGGAACAAAATCGCTGTTCCAAAGGGCCTGACTTCCAACTTTCTCTGGAGAAGTTGCTCCTGCATCATACATCTGGCCAGAACACTCTATGAAATAAGTCCGGTCGATCTACAAACTGTTGCCGGTAAAGACATCATTGAAGGGAAGCGAAGAGGTGCCGCTGATTACGCCAAATCTCGCAGAAAGATCAGCAGGTGGGCAAAGCAAGATCGTGCGCTTGTTGGAGTATCTGGTCAGTATTTCCCGAGTAACATATGTGACTTGCAGCTTGGTGGCTAACCAATAATCTAGCTGCTGCTAAGGTTATACAGAGTCGACTACAAAACAGTTTTTCAGCGGTACACTGCAACCATTGTCTCTGGTGCTGCTACCTCGCAGCTTTGATCTGCTGGAACTTCGGCTTCGCAATGACAAAAGTGAACTCTCCTCAAGACCATGTCAGGCACGGGCACCTAGTGTCATTTACGGAATCTGAAGAAGAGTGTACGCGGTACTTAGAAGCTGCCATTACCTTAGGTTCATCTCCCCTTGATGATGAGATCGGGTCAATCTTGAATAGAACATCCGGCATGCTTATAACGGTCATCAACTTCCTCAAGGATCGGTCTCAGACTGGAATGATCATGGATAGCATCGAGCTTCTCACCCGCTTGGTTGGCTTATCAACGGATGTTCTCAACTAAACAAGTACTAGCCCTAATAAATAACTGGCAAGATCAAATTTCGGCGTCAGAAACATGAGGCGGATGTCTCCAACTCGATGATACACCATGTACTGTATTCTGCTCAGCACAACAACTCCTAGCGACGATCTGCAAACAATCGCAATCGTTCTGAGTTCAGGTTAGACTATTCACGAAGATCTGACACGCTAAATTGGTCAACCCGTCAGGGAAGGATCTTACAGGAAAACATGTTTACATGTGTAATACACTTGTCACATTACTCGATCGTAAAAGCGTTTTGGGGGTCACAAGTCACCTTATCTGTATAGTTGTAAGCGGCTTCTATCAATCCTTTTTCTAGCTTTGATAGACCGTATGTGGCGGGAAAACTAGGAGGCTGATAAGATGGATTTGGGGGTTAACCTCTCGACCCCCAACAGCCCGGCCGGTAGCGAACGATGGCTACCTGTTGTCGCAGATCACCTGCGGCCTCAACGACGTCTCCACCAAGGTCGAAGATTCTCCAATCTCAACTTCCTAGCCTAGAAAGAAATGAATTGCAGCCAATCAGACATCAACAGATCTGTGGCACGAAAGATGGCAATCAGCAATGTCGAATTTCCCATAAAGCTACAACTGCCACCGGGTATTGCTCTAGCATGATTAGCGACCGTCTCAATTGTCATTCAGCCATCATGAGTAACATGCTGTCAGCTATAGGGATATTCAGCCGGAGATTGTTCGCTGTATTCGCATTGGTTGCCGTTTTCGCTAATGTTAGCAAAGCCGGAGAAGTGCCAGACGTTGATGACGCTGTGATCCAACAACACTTTGCTACAAGGGCAGAATGCATAGCCACGGAAAGGAGTGGACGACAAGGTGAGAAGACCGGTAGAGTATTCAGAAGACAATCTAACACGGAACAAACTTAAAGATGAACACTTTTACCAATCGCTTCTTCGGTTGCTCGAAATGCTGTTAATATTGTGGAAGCATACGCACAGACGAAATTAACAATTACTGGCGGCATGCCGGGCTGGTTGGACAGGAAGATGACGAAAGGTTTGCTGGAGAGATGTTCTCGAAAGCAAAACCATTCATACTGGGCAGCGAGCTGTGGAAAGTCATTCAAAGAATGCCAAAGGGTGCACTCTTACACACCCACTGGAATTCTATGTTGTCCTATGACACAATCTTGAGAATACTCCAGAAGACAGAGGGCATTGTTGTCTCGTCATCTCAGAGTCTCTATTTGGATCTCTACCGGAAGAATGCTACACTCAGCATCAGTCATGCCAATTACACATTAAATGAATCAGTACCGTCTCTTCACTCCGAGAAGTATATCGCTGGTACAAAAGTCAGCTTGCTCAGAGCCGCCAAGGAGTGTGGCCGGGCGGCAATGACGCATTTTTTTATTATCTCAAGACAAAGGTTGAATTCACTAAAGATATATCCCACCGTCATGATTTAGGTGTCGATGATATGTGGCGTCAGTTCAGCAAATACTTTGCCACAGGTGGAATCATGCTACTGTATGACTGTGTTTCGCGAATTTGTTCAAATTTTGCTTGGGGATTTGGCCAACGATGGCATAGACTGGGTCGAAATATGTAGTGATACAGCAATTGCAAATCTCGTTCCAGAAGGGTTGTCATCCCCCAGTTCTGACCCAGACTTCCGGTGGAAGCTTCCGAGTGAAGAAATCGACAAATTCAAGGCTAGTAGCTCGGCAAGAACTTCTGGGGAATTAGAGTCATTTGGACTGATAAGCGCGCCAAAACACATCTCAAATCATTGAAGGTGACACAGGTTTGACTCGAAGGAGGCGATACTAACGACCGCATGTGCAGGAATGGAATCATGCCTTTCACGGAAACAGAGCGCTCCAGAGCTTTTTTCAGGCTATGATCTTGTTCTTGGCCGCCCACTGTCATCTCTTGCAATAAAGAAGCATCCTGCTCGATTTGCTGGTGTATAGTTCTCAGTTTGAATGCGGTCCAGAGAGTCACTGCGTTCCACACCAGCTCGCCAAAGATCACAGACTAAAGTACTGCCCGAATCTTGCCCTCGCACATTT